GATTTTGGAAACAAGGGCTGTACAGTACCTTTTAGTTTATAGCCAAAACAAAACTGCAGGCTTATATACTCAGCACTGTTTGAGGGGCAATGGGGAGATATGCCCCTTAAGCAAGCAGGCACTCAAACACTGTTCATACGTTTTCGACTGCTACGGTTCTTCCCTTCATCCACAGCCCTCGATGGCAGGCACCGAGCACTTCCAAAAGTAGGATGTCGGTTTTCTTCTTTCAAGCCGATGCTCCCTGTAGGTGCGGCTGCAGGGGACAAAATGCATAGATATCGGGAACATTGGTGCTCCGTTAACCTCCCCTGGACTTTAAAAGGGAGGAACGTGTAGCGCTACTTCAATAGCCTTTTTCAAGGCGATCCGCCTCTGGCTAACGCTTTAATTGCAGATATTTATCGCTTGAAGGCGGTGTGGGTGGAGTTGTTATTGAAGTGAAATGTTTTTAAAGGCCTTCGGAGAACACTCTTATTCTGGTGCAGCGGTTAAAAGGAAGACTCTAACACGTTTGGCGCTAGAGGAGCGACGAAAGAAGCGGGGCCGTTTATTCTGCAGAAGGCATTTTTATGTTAACTAAGACCGTTATTAAATCTTTCCAAGTTGATGTCCTTACTTGCGGGTTCGACTCGTATGTCCACAGAAAGATTGGTTTTCAATTAGCCGACGTATTTTAAGCGCCGCGAAAATGCTGTGCTGTGAAGCTTTTGAGCTTCTTGGAAGTTGTAACATTACCAGAGAAACTCTTAGCGGTCAAAACACCGAGCAGGCTCCGCTAGCACAGGAGTCGTCTGCGTTAGTGACGGGAATCGCAGCACGCTTATGGCGAGACTGCGCTCGTCGGCTGAGACGACACGGTTATCGAATCACTAGAGTCGCACTTGTTGAGCACAAGAATGAATCTAAAGGAGCACGTGCGCTGTGTTTTGTGTAGGAGCAGCAGTGCACGCTGTCAGTGAGCACGGCTGGATTAAAGTAGCGTCGTTTTCACTCTCCTGCGAAGTCCACTTTTACGAACAGTAACGGGAGGTTGACTGGCAAGTCATCATAAATGTAATCAGTTCTATTTTTTAAAAAGTAAGCACACATACTATACGTTTGGAAAGTCGTGTTATTTCTACTTTTCGCAGAAACGGCGAAAACGACTTGCGTTTTACCCAGGACGGTTCACCGACATCTTGTTTTACTTCTCGTATACAAAAGACAGAGCAGGTGCTCCTTTCGATTAATTCTCTCGCACAAAGAGTGTGACGATGTTTCTCTGTAGTTAAAGTTGATGCTAGTTTGTGTGAAAATGTTATTGCATATATATTGCAACATATTAACATACAGTAGTAGTCAATGTCGTTCATGAATTAAGTATCACGTTCTAAAGCAATGTTTTATTGCGTACACGCAAAAATGATCACGTTTTAACACCCTGCTATCTCGTGTAAAACCAGTTTCTCCCTGGCGCTAACAGGCTTCTATAGAGTTGGACACCGCTTGATTTATATAATAACATATTCCCCTCCAGCACGAAAAACAAGTTCTAACTAATTCCTGCGTGGTAACATGTTTTAAGATCTTAACCACAGAGTGATGTCGTAATAGTTTTTCAGGTTCCCCAAATAATGACGTTATTTTTTGAAGCAGTCTAAACGCGCTCCAAAACGCCACCGAGGGCTCTGTTCACCTTAATTAAACAAGCAAGTGTCGGAACTCCTCGTGCGCGCGCTACAGCCCTCCAATCGCCGCCCTCAGCCAATCAGGGCGCAGCGAGTATTTCAGGAGCTGAGCGCCGCTTGTCTGCAGTTCCTCGGTGAGTTTCACGATGGAGAAGTCAATGAGCAGAGGGAGGATGGGGTTGCACTTTGTGTTGTTTTTGCTGGCGTTGGATTGGTCTGTAGCTCAGGTTCAGAAGTGCCTGGTTAATGACAACGACAAGATAACGTGTGGTGATGTGGCTATCGGTAAAAGCGATTGTGAGGCTGAAAACTGCTGCTTTGATCCGTCC